AGCTGAGGGACAGCGCCCAGGCCAGAGTTCAAGCCCCACTACCGGACCCCCCAAAAAAAAATAAAAATAAAAATAAAAAAAATAAAACCAGGCGACAAAGGATGCGGGGTCCCAGTGAAGGCCAGACTGGCAAAAGTTAGGAGACCATATTTGAAAAATAAACTAAAAACAAAAGGATTTGCTGGGGTCCTGTGGCCACATGGTAGAGCACGTGTAGTTATAAGGCTCTAACGTCAATCCCCAGAATTGAAAAAACAAAAACAAAACAAAACGCACAAGCACAAGACTCACAATACAGAAGTCTGTTTCCCAGGATTCCCAGCAAAAGCATGGACTGAGAGTAGGTGTCGTGCCCATCCCCCAACCCGAAGCCACAGGCCCCGCCCAGACAGGAAAAGGAGACCCCAAGGGAACCCCAGAGCTGCCTTGCAGCTCAGGAAAGAGAGGAGAGGGGGGAAAAATGAATGTAAAGAACCAAAGTTTGCAGAATAATTATAGAAAGAGGTTTCACAGACAGTAAATGACAGCGCCTGGGAGTGCCTGGGCTCAAAGCGGCCATGAAATTGCCACTGTGGTCTGGAGGCCACCCACCCCCAGACCAGGGGCAGGTGGCCCAGCCACATGAGAAGAGCAAGAAGGATCCAGAAGAGGCATCTGGGTAATCATGAGATGATGAGTATAGACCAGGAGATGGTTTAGACTCCTTTCTCGAAGAGGGAGGGGGAGGGCAAAGGGCCCTGGGAAGTGGGAGGTGGAGGCAAACACAAGGCTGAGTTGCCCTAGAGAGGTTGGGGGTGAGGACAGGGGTGCTGGAGTTCAAGAGTCCTGGAGTGTGTCATTCCAAGTTCAAGAGGAAGTGGAAGGGAGAGACTGCTACTGGGTCCTAGCCCTGTCCCCAGTGAAACCCCGCATTTAAATGTTTGTGGCTAAATGAAACCCCTCCTCTCTTATCCCAAACACCCCATAAAGCCTCTTATTATCCCCACTACCAGAGTGAGTAAATCTAGAATCAGAGATCAAAGCTTGGCCCAGCTGGGGGGCAGGGGGGGTGGAACGAACAAGGATGGGGGGGGGGTGTCTCCTGCCTTGTGCCCTCCTACAGGCCTCCAAGGGGCTGAGGCTGGAATCCCAGCTCTGCCTGGCCAGGGCACTTTCATTCACTGGCTCCTGGGAACAGAGGACCAAAGGAGGGGAGGGGGGAGGGGGGGATCAGAACCCTTGTTGCTGCTCTCAGTTTCCTCATCTGTGACTTGGGACCAGCCTTGAGTTCCAGCACCAAACCCAAACGTAGGCCCCGAGGCGGATCAAACCCCTGGAGGAGAGATCCCGGGGCGGGGTGGGGCCCCAACTGGGATTTATGCCCTTGCCCCTGGGCACAGTGCCTGGCACACACGGGAAGCGCCCAATAAATGCCTGTTTGAGCGGGGACCAGCCCTCAATAAATAACAGCTGTTATTGATGCTGAGGAGGGAGTGGGCTCTCCCCTCCCCCCTCCGGCCCCATTCCTGTCCCCCCCCCCCCCGCCCCCCACGGCTCCTGTCCACTGGCCCTCCCACTCCTCCCTTCCATTCAAACTCTGCTCCTCCGCGGGTCACCTCTATTCTGTCCCTTCTCCACCCGCTTCCTCCCCCTCCCCCACTCTTCTCATTCACCCCCCCCACCTCCCTCCACCCAATCAGCCACCTAATCCCCGCCCCCACCCGACCTCACCCCCCCCACTCAATCCCCGCCCCCATCCAACCTCCCCCCCACCACTCAATCCTCTCCCCCATCCAACCTCCCCCCACCACTCAATCCCCGCCCCCATCCAACCTCCCCCCACCACTCAATCCCCGCCCCCATGCGACCTCCCCCACTCAATCCCCGCCCCCATCCAACCTCCCCCCCCACCACGCAATCCCCGCCCCCATCCGACCTCTCCCCTCACCCCCCTCCCGCTCAATCCCCACCCTATCCGACCTCCCCTCACCCAATCCCCGCCTCCACCCTCCCACCCCCCCAACACTCAATCCCATCCGACATTTCCCCCCCCATATTCAATCCCGCCTCCATCCGACCCCCCCATTTCTTCCCCAGCCCCGGGGTCCCCGGCTGGGGTCCAGCCTTTAGCCCGGGCCGGCGGCAGCGGCGGCGGCGGGCGGGGTTTCTGGCCCTGCGATTTGGGTTTTTTTTTTTTAATAACCCTGGCGGGCGGCTCAGGAAGTGCGGGCCCCGCGCCCCCTCCCCCGGCCACGCCGCCGCGCGCCCTCCCTCCGCCCTCGCCCTCCGCCCTCCGCCCAGCGCGCCGGCCAGACGGCGGCGGCCAGCGCGGACCCCAGGCCCCGGGCGCGCCGACCCCCATCCCACGGCCGGGCCGGCGGGGCTGAGCGCGTCTGCGGCGGACCGCGGGGCCGCGGGGCCCGCGCACCCGACTGTCCCGCCGCGAGCCAGGCCGAGCGGTGCGTAAAGGTCCCCAAGTCCCCGAGTGTGCGGGGTGCACGGATGGTCGGGCTGTGCGGGGCTCTGCGCTGCCCGTGTGTCTGTGAGTGGCTGCGTGTGTGTGTGTCTGGGTGTGTCTGCCTGTGTACGTGTGTCTGGATGTTTTTGTGTGTCTGCTTGGGGGTGGGGAGCTGAGTATGTATGTGTGTGCTGCTGTGCATCTGGGTGTGTCTGGGTGTGTGTCGAATGTGTGTGCATGCACACGTGTGTGTCTAGGTGTTTTTGTCTGTGTGTGCGTGCATATGTGGGTGTTTTGTCACCCACATATGGGGGGGTGAGTGTGTATGTGTGCTTGTGTGGGCCTGTGTGTATGTGTGTGTATATGGGTCTTTCTTGAGTGTGAGTATGGGTCATCTGTGCCTGTGTCTGGGTGTGTATGTCTGGGTGTCTGTATCTGCTTGTTTGTGTGGTGTGTGCATCTATGTGTGTGTTGGTGTGTGCGGCCATCCACGTATATGCAGATGGTTGTGCACCTGCATGTGTACGTCTGCTTGTCCTGGCTTTGTGTATCCAAATCTGAGCGTGTGTGATTGTGTTTGCCTGAGTGTAAGCCAGTGTGTGTGTCTCTTTGAGCATCTCTGTATGTGCCTGTTGAATGTAGCAAGTGTGCAAATGTCCCTGTGTGTGTGTGCGTGTGTGCGTGTGTTGGGGAAGGTCAGGATCTGGAGGACATGTGAACTTGTGTCTGGTCTGCTGTTTGTGATTTTGTATGTGTTTTGTGGGTCTGTGTCGCTGTGTTTTCTGAGAGTAGGCCCAAGCTGTGTGTATTTGGGATTTCTGGGTTTGTGAGTTGTGTATCCATGTGCAAGTAAGTGTGTCTGCACACACTTAAGAGTGTAAGCGTCTGTGTATCCAAGCTGAGAGGGTCTTTTCATAGGGCACCAGGCCTTCAGGCTGTACAGGTGGGGGTCACCCTGGAACTTAGGAGGGGGGTTTCCCTGCCAGTGTGTTTGTGTCTGGGTGAACCAGTGGCGCCGCCCACTTCCCCTGACTTGGTCACGGAGACTGTGTCTGTCTCCAGTGGTCAGCCCTGGCCTTTAATTAGCAGCTTCTTGGGGGGGGAGGGCACCCCAGCCCTCCTTCCTGCAGGCCGGCTGGCAGGCAGGCTGGCGACGGAGCCTTTGTCTGCTTTCTGGCCAGGGACTGCCCTGGCAGATCGTCTGCCCAGCCAGATGCACAGAGCCCAGAGCTCCCCTGGGCTCCACAGAGAGGCCCCTCGGCCTGTGGGTTCCCCCAGGATCCCCGGGAGGGGATGGAGCCCCGGTTTCCGGGAGGCACTTCCTCCTGTGGGCCTGCCCCCTCCCCCAGGCTGCCGGCCTCCCTACTCCTTCTAGAAGAGCTATGTGGAAAATAACCTAACCTAGCGTACACATACACACACACCAGGTCACACACACACGCATATATACAGTACACATACTACACATACACCTCTCCTTAACCTTCCCTTTAAAATCTCCTGACATCACCCATGGGTCCCTCATCACTGATACCGCATTAGGGGTTTTTTGATAACTTTTTTTAGGGGGGTGTTCAGTCGTGGGCCTGAACTCTGGGCCTGGGCGCTGTCCCTCAGCTCTTCAGCTCAAGGCTAGCGCTCTACCACTTGAGCCACAGCACCACTTCCGGCTTTTTTTTTTTCTGCTTACGTGGTGCTGAGGAATTGAACCCAGGGCCTCATGCATGCGAGGTAAGCTCTCTACCACTGAGCCACCTTCTCAGCGGATCATGTTTTTTGGAACTCTTGCCTTCACCCTGATACTTAAGGGCCTCCTGCAGACCCCACCCCACCCCTGTGGGAGGGGTAAGTCCCCTCCCTCTTCCCATCCATGCTGTGTCCTGCCCCCCCCCAACACCTTATCTGAGCTAAAAGTCACTGTTAGGAGCCTCCAGGGACAATGGTAAAGGGCTAGAAGGACTATTTGGGGACCAGAATGAGAGACCCAAAAATGATAGCCAGGCCAGCACTGGGTGGCTCACACATATAATCCTGTCTACTTAGGAGGCTGAGATTTGAGGACCATGGTTTGAAGCCAGCCTAGGCAGGAAAGTTCTTGAGATTCTTATTTCCAACTTGCTAACTAACCAAAAAAACAAAAACAAAAACCCTACACAATAGTGGAACTGTGGTAGAATGCTAGCTTTGAGAGAGAAAAAAACAAAAACAAAAAAAATCCTCAGCCACAACAACAGGCACTGAGTTCAAACCTCAGGACTGGCACCAAAACAAAAAAAGATAGCCAGGACTAAGAGAGTCACTGGCAGTGTGGGAGGGGCAGAGGGGCAGGGGCGGGGAGGGATGGGGATAGTGGGGTGCAGGCCCTTTGGGTAAGGGGTGGGAGTTAAGGCAAGAGGCAGTTAGAAGAGCCCATCCTGGAAGAATCTCGAGTCCAGATCTGGTTGAGCATGTCTGATCTCCTGATGCATCCTAGCCTGATTCCTCTTTGTCCCTTTCTTTGCCTGTCTACCTGCCCTGGCTTTACAGAAAAGGCAACTGAAGCCCAGAGAGGCCCACAAGCCCAAGTGTACACTGCAGGGAAGGACCTACCCTGCAAGGTTTGAACACCACGCCACCAACTGAAGCTACCTTAAGGTAATTTTAAAAAAAGAAGAATGGGAGATGGGAAGGTGGCTTAGTGGTAGAGTACTCGCCTAGTATGCATGAAGCCCTGGGTTCCATTCCTCAGGACCACATATACACAGAAAAAGCCAGAAGTGGTGCTGTGGTTTAAGTCATTGAGTGCTAGCCTTGAGCAAAAGAAGCTCAGGGACAGTGCCTAGGCCCTAAGTTCAAGCCCCAGGGCTGGCAAAAATAAAAAAAGAATGGACATTACCCTCACTGACTGGGATAGCAGGGAGTCAAAATGTGTGGGAGTAAGCTGCCCATGAGTGGAGGAATCCAAGCCCGAGAGAGGAATGTGGGCCTTCTACATCCACATCACAAAGAAACCTGGCTTCCCTCCCTTGTGGCCCTGTTTGAGGACCGGCTCTCAGACTTGGCTGGACCACAAAGAAAACAAGAGAGTGTGTGATCATACAGAGGAAGAGGGAAGGGGGGAAGGAGGCCTTGGCACAAGGTTGTGGCCCAAAGTCATGTCTGCAACCAACCGGCTGGCCTGAGCCACAAGCCCCAGAACAGCCGAACCTCCCCAGCCCAGAACCTGACGATGCAGGATCAGGAGCCAGGCTAGAAATGGAGGAGGGAGGGACAAGAGGCCTCAGGAACAAGGACCACCATATTGGGAGTTTCCAGCCCCATTTAGTGTGTGGTATAGGGTGTTCCCCACCCAGGATGGGGGCTGGAGGACCTCCATACTTGCCTTCGCTATTTAGTCTGGGTCAGAATTTCACACTGACCATCACCCCTGTCTTCAAGTGTACCCTGTGCCAACCTTCCCATTCTTCACACACACCCCCCCATTCCCGTCCTACCCCAGCCCCTGGGCCCCCTGCCAGGCCCCTCCCTGCCTCCCTCCAAGCCCTTTAACCTTGCAGAGATTCTCTCCCAATTGATTTCTTCCCTTTGCTGCCACGCAACTCTCAGTCCAGGGTGGCCACGTGACAGTGTCTCTCAGGAGAAGCTGTACCCCTGTGGTGTGCAGCTTCTGTCCCCGCCTCCCCGCCCCCAGCCCAGTCATTGAATCTGGTTTCCAGTCTTGGTGGCCACGTGACCTTCAATCTTTTCATCATCATCCACTCTCCTTCTACAAAGGGAGAAGAAAGTGGGGACTTCTTCGTTAATCTGGGAAACTTGTGAGCCACACACTGGCACGTGGTAGGTGGCCACAGTGTCTCAGCCCCTGACAGTCCCGTTCCAGAGCGGGACGCAACCTCCTTATTCATGAGGGAAGTGTCCTGGTCATCTGAGGAGCTGTAGGTCTCCCCCTGCATCCCCCATCTCCCGATCAGTCAGGTAAAGGGATCTTGTGTTGGTTATGCCAGGCAGGTCCTTCTTCTGACGGGGCTCCCTCTTCTCTCTACCCAACCCCCCCACCACCAGGAACCCGGTGATGCTGCCCAGGCTGTGAACAAGGGGGCAGCACTGTGGGGGCTGCCAGCAGCCGGGGCTGGGAGAGACATGTGGACACGTAGCCCCTATGGCTCCCGCCTACCAGATCCTCCGCTGGGCCGTTGCCCTGGGGCTGGGCCTCACATTCAAATTCACACAGGCCTTTCGATCTCAAGGTAGGCACTGTCCAAGGATGGCAGTGGGGAGGGAGAAGGATGTTAAAGAAGCCAGTTAGGACTCAAGACAAAAAGGGTTGAAGCAACTTACAAGTATAGCCTGTAACCCTGGGGAAGACATATGGAGGCTCAAAGTTCAAGGTAAGCCTTGGGCAAAAAAAAAAAAAAAAAGAAACAAGTTCTGGAGACCCTACTTCAAACAATAAAAGCTGAGCTTTGAGCAGGAGCCCACCATCCCAGCTATTTGGCAAGTATCAGCAGGAAGCTTACCATCCAGGTCAGCTGGATCTCAAATCAACACCTTGTTTGAAAAACAACTAGAACAAAAAAAGCTGGAGGCATGGTTCAAGTAGTAGAGCACCTGCCTGGCAAATGCAAAGCTGTGAGTTCAAATTCTGATCTTACCATAAATGGGTCAGGGGAACGGGGTAGGATGGGTGTGTCGTGGATGAAAGCTGGGGTCATTTAGGCCGAGCCTTGCCATTGGTGACTTGGGTCTGGGGTTGGTAAGGCCAGTATTATCTGCCCCAGACCAGGGTACACTCCAGATTTCTGATGCTCACCCACAGATGAGTTCCTGTCCAGCCTGGAGAGCTATGAGATCGCCTTCCCCACCCGTGTGGACCACAACGGGGCACTGCTGGCTTTCTCTCCCCCTGCCCAACCGAGGCAGCGCCGGGGCACGGGAGCCGCAGCTGAGTCCCGCCTCTTCTACAAGGTGGCCGCACCCAGCACCCACTTCCTGCTGAATCTGACCCACAGCCCCCGTCTGCTGGCAGGGCACGTCTCTGTGGAGTACTGGACCCGGGAGGGCCTGGCCTGGCAGAGGGCTGCCCGGGCCCACTGCCTCTATGCCGGCCACCTACAAGGCCAGGCCAGCAGCTCCCATGTGGCCATCAGCACCTGTGGGGGCCTGGTAAGCTGAGGATTCTGGGAAGCTGTGGGGGGTGCGGCGGCTGCTCACAGTGTGGGCAGTTAAGATAAAACATTTCTAAATAGATATCAGAACCAGTTGCCAGTGGTTCACACCTGTAATCCTAGCAGGCTGAGATCTGAGGGTTGAGGTTAAAAGGCAGGCCAGGCAAGAAAGTCCAGACTCTTAAGTCCACTAAACTTCCAAGAAAGCCAGAAGTGGAGCTGTTGCTCAAAGGATAGAGAGCTATCCTTGTGTAAAAGAAGCTCAAGAACAGCACCCAGGCCTTGAGTTCAAGCCCTAGGACCAGCAAAAAAAGAAAAAATAGAAGTCAGCAAAGGACTCTTAACAGGACCTACTTAAAGTATTTTGAGCTAATCAGTACTTTTTGAAATGCAGCTAAAGCAGTACTTACCGGAAAATGTTGGGTTCCAGTGGTTCATGCCTATAATCCTAACTACTCAGGAACTGAGAATCTCAGTTCAAAGCCAGCCCCACAGGAAAGTCCATGAGACTTTTATCTGCCACTAAAACCACAGAAGTGAAGCTGTGGCTCAGGTGGTAGAGTACCAGCCTTGACTAAAGAGCATTGCTGTGGCCTTGAGATTAAGCCCCAGTGCCATCACAAAAATAGGCAAAATAGATAAACATCCCAAGAAATTAGAAAAGGCATAATAAAATAAAACCAGTAAAATAGAAGGAATGAGGCAGGTAACTGGTGCATACCTATAATCTGAGCTATTTGGGAGGCTGAGATTGGGAGGACTGCAATTCAAGGCCAGCCTGAGGAGGAAAGTTTTGTGAGACTTCCTTATCAATCCATAACTGCTCCCAGGGTCACACATGCTGTCATCCCAAACTATATGGGAGGCTGAGATTTGGGATGATCAAGGCACCAGGCCAGACCAGGCAGATAAGTCTGAGAGACTTCCATCTCTGTGGAGGGAACCTGGATGTGGTAGCATGCCTGTAACCCCGCTGAGGATGAGTCTGTCGGAGGCAGATCACAGGTATACAGCCAAGTGGGAATCAAGACCCTCATCTAAAACGAACCAGTGAAAAACATCACTGGAGGGATGTCTTGGCCATATTGCACCAGCCTCGCAGAGCTTGAAGCCCTGTGTTCGAATCCCCAGAACCACCAAAACAACATGAGGTTGGAGGCATGGCTCAGTGTGTAAAGCGCCAGCCAGTGAGCAAAAGCATCAAGTACAGAGTTCAAGTCCTCTTGTGGGATGCCCCCAACCCCCGCCAAAAAAAGAAAAAAAGACAAAAGACAGAGGTGAGACTGTAGAGTTCTAAGGCAGCAGGAACGGAGCTGAGCTTTCTCTCCCACCACAGCATGGCCTGATTGTGGCAGATGAGGAGGAATACCTAATCGAGCCCCTGCGAGGGGGTGCCAAGGGGGCCCGGGGACCAGAGGAAAGCGGCCCGCATGTGGTATACAAACGTTCTTCCCTGCGCCACCCCCATCTGGACACAGCCTGTGGAGTGAGAGGTGAGCCTGTCTCTCAGGGTGGGCAAGAGGTGGCACCACCCTTCCCAGAGGCTGAGGCACAGGTAAGCAGTGGTGTCTGGCCATCCAGAGGTCAGCTACCAGAGGGACAGAGATAGATCCAGAGATGTCACTTGGGAATTGCACCTGCATAAAGTCAGGAACAGCAGCAGCGCTGAGCCCCATAGCACTGAGGCTTAATTACATCACAGATTACCACCACCACCACCACCACTCCCCCCCCCCCCCCCAGCCCCAGGAAAGTCAACAGTGAGCCTGGAATCCCAGCTACTCAGGAGGCTGAGATCTTAAGGATGGAGATTCAAAGCCAGCCAGAAAAGTTCAAGAGACAGTATCTCCAGTTAACCAGTGAAAAGCTTGGCTGGAGGAGTGGCTTAAGTAATGGAGCACCTGGAAGGGAGGGAAGAAAGAAAGGAGAGAGGGAGGGAAAAGGGGAAAGAAGGAGGGGAGAGAGGGAAGGGAAGAGCAAGCTAGGCAGCAGTAGCTCACGCCTATAATCCCAGCTCTTCAGGAGGCTGAGGTCTGAGGAGCAACAGTTTAAAGTCAGCTTGGATAGGAAAGACTGTAAGACTCTTATCTCCAACTAACCAGCAAAAGAATGGAAGTGGTGCTGTGGCTCAAGTGGTAGAGCACCAGCCTTGAGTGAAAAAGCTGAGCAAGAGTGTGAGGCCCTGAGTTCCAGTCTAGTTAGTGGCACAAAAGAAAAACGACAGAGGGAGGGAGGGAGGGAAGGAAGGAAGGAAGGGAGGGAGGGAGGAAGGGAGGGAAGGAAGGAAGGAAGGAGCAAGCAAACTCCCACAGTCCATCAGGGCAGTGGGGGACAGGAAGTCTGGAATGACAACTGGAGTGACTTTCATGGCACACTGAGCAGCTGTTCAGCCAGGCAGCTTGGCCAAGGGGCAGATGTGGTGTCTAGTTGGACATCTGGGCGGTACTGGAGCTGATGGTTTGACAGGAGACGGGCTAATACGCAGTCAGCCCCTTCTCAGCTGCAGTAAGGAAGGCGGTGTTGGGCATCTCCGGCCCCGCCAGCACTGTGGGGGGAGGGGGAGAGCTCAGCTGCATCACTGGCTTCCCCCAGATGAGAAAGCATGGAAAGGTCGGCCATGGTGGCTGCGCACCCTGAAGCCACCGCCCGCCCGGCCCCTGGGGAATGAAACGGAGCGAGGCCAGCCGGGCCTGAAGCGCTCAGTCAGCCGAGAGCGCTACGTGGAGACCCTCGTCGTGGCCGACAAGATGGTGGTAGCCTACCATGGCCGCCGAGACGTGGAACAGTACGTGCTGGCCATCATGAACATTGTAAGTGCCTCCCCCTTCCTGCAGAGGTCAGGGAAAGAGAGCAGATCCCTAAAACACCACTTGGGTCCAGAGGGGTTCTACAGAAAGACCGGCTAGGCAGCCAGCCTGGACTTATACATTTCAGCCTGAAACTTTTTTGTTTGCCTCTAAGCAAGGTGCTGCCCCTCTGGGCCTTGACTTTTACCCATCTGTAAAATGAGGATATGGCAAGATAGACTCAGGCCAAGCATGGTGGCGCATGCCTATAATCCCAGCTATTTGAAAGTATAGAGATTGAACATTTGCTTCTGGTCACGTTGTGTCTTGCTTCTGATCTGCCTCCCTTTCTCTTGGGCTTGCCACATTATCTAAAACTTGCCAGAGTTCTTGGAGGGTTCCAGACAGGACAGTGTCAGCCCAGGACTCCACAACCCCTGCCTAGCCTATTCTGCATCATTTATGCCCATGCCTGCTCTTCCCCCACCACCACTTCTGCCCTTCCTCCTGTGCCCACAGCTTATATGGGTGCCTCAGAAACCTGTGGAGTGATGTCCTATGGACACCCTTCCATCAACCTCTGTGCAAAGACACAGCAGCCAAAGGGGTGAGCAGGGGTCAGAGGTCAAGTAGACAGATCAAGGATACACCGACTCAGGACGGCTGGAAAGAAACATGCTGTTTCCCCAGTTCCCACTTTTTTTTTTTAATGTCAGTCATGGGACTTGAACCCAGGGCCTGGGCACTGTCCCTGAGCTTTTTCAAACTCAAGACTAGCGCTCTACCGCTTTGAGCTACTGCACTACTTCTAGTTTTCTGGTAATTCATTGGAGATTTAAGAATCTCATGGAGGGCTGGGAAGGTGGCTCAGTGGTAGAGCGCTTGCCTTGCATGGCTGAGGCCCTGGGTTCGATTCCTTAGCACCACATAAGCAAAAACAAAAAAGCCGGAAGTGGCACTGTGGCTCAAGTGGTAGAGTGCTAGCCTTGAGCTGAAGAGCTGAGGGACAGTGCTCAGACCCAGAGTTCAAGCCCCACGACCACACCAAAAAAAAAAAAAAGAATCTCATGGACTTTCCTGCCCAGGTTGACTTCCAACCTCGATCCTCAGATCTCAGCCTCTTGAGTAGCTAGGATTATAGGAATGAGCCACCGAGACCCAGCTTTCATGACACCACTCTGTGTATGTGTGTGCTGCCCTTTCTGATCTCTGGTCTGCAAAGTAAGGGTGCAAATGGAGCATACCTGGGAGAGGATACAGGCCATAGGCTGTGTGGTACAGCATCCAGTAGGTGCTCAATTAAAGCCCGCTCATAGTGTTGGTATTGTTCCTGATCTCTAATCTGGGCTCTTGGAGCTTGAACTCAGAGCCTAAGCACTATCCCTGAGCTTCTTTTGCTAAAGGCTAACACTCTACCACTTGAGCCACAGTGCCACTTCCAGCCTTTTCTGTTTATGTGGTACTGAGGAATTGAACCTAGGGCTTCATGCATGCTAGGCAGGAGCTCTACCCCTGAGCCACATTCCCATCTCTGGGCTACTCTTAAGACTCGGTTTCTCTTGTTTCTTGGAGGTCAGGTTGCTAAACTTTTCCAGGACTCAAGTCTGGGCAGCATCGTTAACATCCTGGTAACTCGCCTCATTCTGCTCACTGAGGACCAGGTGAGGGGTTGCTGGGGCGGGGGAGGGGGAGCGCAGGGTGGAGGGCCGTGCGCACCTCACAGAAGCTGTCCAGGCTGACAGGGCACCCACGCACCTCTCTCTGCCCATCCTCAGCCCACCCTAGACATCACCCACCACGCTGGGAAGTCCCTCGACAGCTTCTGCAAGTGGCAGAAGTCCATTGTGAACCACAGTGGCCACGGCAATGCCATTCCAGAGAACGGCATGGCCAACCACGACACGGCAGTGCTGATCACGCGGTGAGGGCCGGGAGGGCTCCAGGCTTTGGGCTCAGAAACCACCGGGGTCCAGGGACCACCAGGGTCCAAACGAGGGTCACATCTGCTGATGGAGGTTAGGGGAGGGGCTGGGGACCCGGATATGTGAGGAGGGAGGAGGGCAGTTGGATTGTTTAGGTCCTAACTATGGAGGCACTCACTTTCCTATTCATCCAAGCCGCCATTCTCCCATTCATGTATTTGCACTCTCATTCACTCAGTCACTCACTTGCCATTCCTTTCATTCAGTCACTCTGCCATTCATGCACTTCCTCGTTCATTCATACCCATTCATTCTTCCATTCAGGCACGCTCCCATTTATTCAGCTACTCACCATTCTGTCAGCCCCTCTCCCATTCACTCCTGCAGCTGTCCCATTTCTTCATTCAGTTCATTCAGTCACGCCTTTAACAGGAATCCTCGCCTCCCCAAGGCCAGCTGGGGCATAGCATGTGGTTTGGGGAAAGAAGCAAGTAGCACCTCCTAGGCAGGATGGTCCCGAGAGCTGGGCATGGCAACATCCCAGGGGGAGACGGGCCACCCCTCTCACTGCGCCCTCCCCCTTCTCTCCACAGCTATGACATCTGCATCTATAAGAGCAAACCGTGCGGCACATTAGGTACTGGGGTCCCAAAGGTTCCGGACACCTGTGAGGGTGGCTTCGACCCTGGGGTGAGCCCTGGCGGGGTGATTGGGGCTAAGAAGCTCCCCCTGAGACCCTCCCCCATGGCCATTCCCTAGGCCTGGCCCCCGTGGGTGGGATGTGCGAACGGGAAAGGAGCTGCAGTATCAATGAGGACATCGGCCTGGCCACCGCCTTCACCATTGCTCACGAGATCGGGCACACGTGAGGCCGGGGAACACAGGAGGGGGGAGGACAGGAGGCATTGCGGGGGGAGGGTCCCCTCAATGTCTGGCAGAGCCGAGGACACCCCTCTCTCCAGATTCGGCATGAACCACGACGGTGTGGGGAACAGCTGCGGCGCCAGGGGCCAAGATCCAGCAAAGCTCATGGCTGCCCACATTACCATGAAAACCAACCCATTCGTGTGGTCGTCCTGCAGCCGGGACTATATCACCAGCTTCCTGGAGTGAGGATGGACCCAGCCCAGTCCTACTGCGGGGGAGGGGAAGGGCCACAATCACAGTGGGGATGGGGCCTGTGGAAATCAGGGCTGCAGCCCCCCCCAAGATGTCTATCCAAGCTAAGGGGCTCCCTGAGGTGTTGGAATGACAGCTCCTTTCTTGTCGTCACAGTTCGGGCCTGGGGCTCTGCTTGAACAACCGCCCCCCCAGACAGGACTTCGTGTACCCAACCGTGGCCCCCGGCCAAGCCTATGATGCCGACGAGCAATGTCGGTTCCAGCACGGAGTCAAATCGCGTCAGTGTAAATACGGGGTAGAGAGAGCCTTCCTGCTTTCCTTCCTGGGAGGGGAGGGGTTTGCAGAGGGTCCCCACTGGGAAAGTGGGGTGGGAGAGCCAAGAAGTGGGGGTGAGGTGAGGAGCTAGAAGGAATGAAGTATATGGGGTATACAGATGTCCCCCAACTAGCCAGGGACAGAAATGAGATCCCTGGCTGGGGATGGGCATCTTGCCGGCTATCCCAAGACCTCTCACTGGGCAGTTTTTAACTAAATATCCTTGCTTGGTGTTAATGGTTTCCTTGGGAATGAGCCATCTACTTTGCTTGGCAACAAATCGAAGAGAACCTTCCAGGGACTGTCTTCACTCCCCGTGTCCCCTACTGACTGGTTCACAAGGTCTCCTGGCTCTGGTCTTTGACTGGACAGGCTGTGAGTTTCCTGAATGTTCTTTGCTGTTTCCTGAGGTTCAGATGCCCAAAACTCTTTGGTCCGTGCATCAAGAAGTGAGCTCGGAGCAGGATGTGGTAGTGAACACCTGTAGTCTCACCTACTTGACGAAATGGAGTTAGGAGGATCACAAGTTGAGGCTGAGTTTGGCATACTTGGCAAAGAGAAGACTATATGAAAATCAAACTAAAGCAAAAAAGGCCTGAGGGAGCGTTTGGTCTAGGCCCTAAATTCAATCCCCACTACTACTCCAAAAAAGTTTTGTAAAAAATGAGTTTGGGGGCCGGGAGAACCCAGGAAGCTGATAACTTGATGTCCTTCTGCTTTGACTGTCAGAATTCAGCATCTCCTCTGCCCACCTCTCTCCATTCCTGAATTCTACTTCTTTTTTCTTTTTCTTTTTTGTTTTCCCCCTGTTTCTGTCGTGGGGCTTGAACTCTGGGCCTGGGCACTGCCCTTCAGCTCCTCAGCTTAAGGCAAGCACTCTCCCACGTGAGCCACAGCATCACTTCCAGTTTTCTGGTGGTTAACTGGAGATAAGGGTCTCATGGATCTTCTTGCCCAGGCTGGCTTTGAACCATGATCCTCAAATCTCAGCCTCCTGAGTAGTTAGGATTACAGGCATGAGCCACCAGCGCCCAGCCTTTGAATACCACTTTTTGAGTCCTTTCAGATTCAGTCCTAGTGTGTCCTGGCCCTACCCAGTTCTCTACACCTTCCAGAGAAAGGATATGTCCAAGATAATATAGAATCCAGGCCCTCACTTCACCTCATTCACTGTCACTCATGGTGGCTCACACCTGTAAAGATTGGAAGAATAGTTCAAGGCTAGCCCAAGACAAAAAGTTGCCAGATCCCGTCTCAGTCAATAAGATTGAGCATGGTGGTTTTGCCTAAGAGCCCAGAAGCCATAGATAGGAGGATTGAGGTCTGAGGCCAACCCTAGGGAGAAAATGCAAAACCCTATCTGAATAGTAACTAGCCCTACAAGTGTCCCTTCTTACAGCCACTGATTAGTTCAATGCCAAATCTGCAAAGTTTGGAAGCATTTGGGTTCAAAGAGCTCTCCTCAGAAGAAAGATCCTGAAAGCATAGGGCAGGGTGGAAGAGGTAAGATCTGACTACAACCTAGTGCTGATTGGTTCTCTCTGGTGATAGTACCTAGAGCTAAAAGGTCACAGTGATCGCCTGAGATTAGTGCAGCTTCCTGCCATGGACCAGGGTTGCCAAGGTCAGAATAGGCCCCTGATCTCTCCTGCACTGTTAAGCCCGTCCGAAAAGGAAGTGAGACTCCTTCCTGTCCCTTCCCACAGCAGGTCCGAGTTTTAGAAGGCACTAAGGGGCTTTAGCCAACATCCCACTTTGAAGATCTGGACTAGACTACAGGCTGCCCCTTAGTTGCAGTGTAGCTTTTAGTTAGAAGGCCTTGCCTCTCTGAACCTTGATAAAAATGCAAGTAAAATCAGCCAGAGGATTGATCCATGGTATACCAAGGGGCTCCACAAAGCATAGATTGTTGGCAGACAAGTCCAAAGGGGACCCAGGATAGCAGTGAGTCCTTTCCAGCAAGAGAGGCAGCTCTCAAGGACTGGGGTGTGGAGGGTCGAGCCTGAGCGGGTGCCTTGGCCCGCAGGAGGTCTGCAGCGAGCTTTGGTGTCTCAGCAAGAGCAACCGGTGCATCACCAACAGCATCCCGGCCGCCGAAGGCACGCTGTGCCAGACGCACACCATCGACAAGGGGGTGAGCGCGGGCCCCGCCTTCGGCTCGGGGCCACGCCCCCTGCGCGTAAGAGGTTCCCTCTGCTTTGGCCACGCCCCCATTTGTGGATCTTGTCCTGGTTTGCCCTTCCCGATTCCGAAGCCACGCCCCTCGACGCCGCTCGCTCGTCCCGGGCCCGAGGCCACGCCCCCGCTCACTGAAGCCACGCCCCTCACCACTCCAGCCGCACCTCTGTCTGGTGGTGGCGGCTTCCTGGCTGTGCCTTGACGCTCCAGCCGATCCCCAAAGTCCTTAGACCCCGTACCTCTGTCCACCCCGGCCTCGTCCAGAGGGACTGCAGCTGGGGGCGGAAGAGGGGGACGGACCCTGAGCTCCCCATCCCGTTTCCCCCACCCCTGTTGTCCAGTGGTGCTACAAGCGGGTGTGTGTCCCGTTCGGATCGCGACCAGAGGGCGTAGACGGGGCCTGGGGCCCCTGGGCCCCGTGGGGTGACTGCAGCAGGACGTGCGGCGGCGGTGTGTCCACGTCCAGCCGCCACTGTGACAGCCCCAGGTCAGTCCTCAGGAAAGAGCCGGGTGAGATGCTCCCCTCCCCAACCCCATTGTCCTCCCCCCCACACACACACACACCATCTCTTTCGGGTCTCCCCCACTTCCAGGCCAACCATCGGGGGCAAGTACTGTCTAGGGGAGAGGCGGCGCCACCGCTCCTGCAACACCGAGGTGAGATCCCCGGCACCCCAAACCGCTTCCTGAATTCCCCAGGTACCTGCTCCAACCTTACCCGACCTATGCCCTGTTCCTCTCCACCCACTTCCTCTCTAAGCTTGGGTTTCTCTCCAGCTACCCCTTTCCTCCAGTAGTTTTTTTTTTTTTTTGGTGGGGTGGAGGGGAGGGTGGTACTGCAGCTTGAATTTCGGCTTCTGCCCTAAGCTTTTTGGCTGAAGGTTGGTGTTCTACCACTTGAGTCACAGCTCCACTTCCAGCTTTTTGCTGGTTAATTGGAGATAAAAGTGTCATAAAGTAGCTGGGCACCAGTCGCTCACAACTGTAATCCTAGCTACTCAGGAAGGTGAGCTCTGAGTCTCATGGTTCAAAGCCAGCCCAGTTAGGAAAGTCCATGAGACTCTTCTCTCCCGAGAACCTCCCAGAAAACTGGAAGTGGTGCAGTGGCTCAAGTGGTAGAGCACTCACCTTGAGCTGAGGAACAGGGCCCAGGACCAGAGTTCAAGCCCCACGACCAACACACACAAAAAAATATGTCATAAACTTTCCTGCCAGCTACCTTCAAACCACAAATCTCAAATCTCAGCCTCCTGTGTGTCTAGGATTATAGGCATGAGTACCCACAACCAGCTCTACCTCTAGTGTTTACATTCTTTTACTAGAGGAATGTCCCTTGCTTGCCCTCCCCCCCCCCCCAAGTAATTGTTCTGTCCTCATACCCTAGATCCATTCCAGTGTGTGGCTCCTCCTTCACGGCCCAACTTCCCCCAAAGCCAAGCCCCTGTCCCCTTATTGTCATCTCCCCCCCCCCACCCCCGCAACCTGACTGACCGTCCTCTCTCCAGACCTGGAGCCTGGCTGGCTTGTTTGCTTCTTACTCTCTTTCTTCTTTTTTGCTTCTGTTTGTGCCTATATCTCACCAGGAGTGACCATCTTTGCTTCTCTCTGGAATTTTCTCTTCTATTCCTTTCTAACGCAATGCCCATGGCTGAGTCTCTTGTGTAGAGAGTTTTAGATAAACACATATAAGCCAGAGGCTGACAGGAGGAGGAGAGGATGCTCAGACAGCACAAAGAGTTTGGAGGGAGCAGTGGCCTTTCTTCCCTCCCCACCACCACCTGAGGAGTCACGTCTCTGGGGGTCTATGTGCTCTCATTCATGAAGAACCCAGTCATCACCCCTAGCCTCTAATGGGTCATCTGCTTCAATCACCTGGACATCTAGCATGGGTCACCATCAAGTCTGTCCTGGACCATTGCAGCGTCCTCCCTAGTCTCTCTGCCTTCATCTGATCCGTGCCAAGCTTAGCACCTCTTCTGTGCCCCAATTTCTTCCCTCTCCCCTCCCCAGGACTGTCCTCCTGGCTCCCAGGATTTCAGGGAAATGCAGTGTTCTGAGTTTGACAGTATCCCTTTCCGTGGAAAATTCTACACATGGAAGACATACCGAGGGGGTGAGCAGGGAGCCCCTGAGGGTTTAGGGGTGGTGAAGGGAAGCTATGGGAAGCATCCAGCATTCCAAGGTTCTTCCCAAGGAAAGCATGCCCAGGATGTGGTGAATGGTGGCTGGATGTATCCTCCACCCACCCCAGCCTTGGTGTTGGGTCTAGGGTCTGTCCTTGGCCTCGATTCTTCCTATGAAACAGACAGGGACTTCCAAGGGTGGCCTGGCCCCAGGTCTGATTGGTCTATGCCCCCCAGGGGGCGTGAAGGCCTGTTCCCTGACTTGCCTAGCAGAGGGTTTCAACTTTTACACGGAGAGAGCGGCGGCCGTGGTGGACGGGACACCCTGCCGCCCGGACACGGTGGACATTTGTGTCAGCGGTGAGTGCAAGGTAAGTGGAGATTCCCAGGAGAAGGAGAAGGGTCGGGCATCTCCAAAATACACACACACACACACACACACACACACACACACACACACCAGCACCAGCACCTTTCCCTTGCAGCACGTGGGCTGTGACCGAGTCCTGGGCTCTGACCTGAGGGAGGACAAGTGCCGAGTATGTGGAGGTGACGGCAGTTCCTGCGAGACCATCGAGGGCGTCTTCAGCCCAGCCTTGCCTGGGGCAGGTGAGGATCCCCCGTTCCCCTCCCACATGCCACACGAGGGCCTGGTGGCTCGAGTCAGGGTTGGCCTACCACAGTAGTCAAGATGAAGTAATTCTATAGATTCCAGCCTTTCTGTGGAGTCTGAGTTAGGCTTAGAGGTTGGGTATTAGGGATCCCCAAAAGTCCTATTGTTGGGAGATGGGAACAAAAATGCCCTCAAAACAGGAGGAGGAAGGGCCTCAGGTACTGGTGTGGGTCCCGTTTGCCTAGATCTTGGTCATTTAGATAACGAAGACAAGGCAAGCTCAGCTCTTGCCCTCCACCATCCTTGGGGTGTCAGGATGGGTGAGAAGGGGTTTACTATGCATCCCGTGAGCCAAAGGGGCTAGGGGACTCAGTGTGCCAGCAGGGGAAGTCTTCTTTGGGGGAGGGACACTGGAAGGATGTGGAGAACCCCCTTCCCAGCTTGGGCTGGGTCCAGGGATTGAGGAGATTGGGGAGTTCGGGAATCATCCAAAAGGCTGGCGAGGCTGGGATGGTAAGAGCAAGTCAGGAGTCAGCAGGAATTGCACACGGTCTGCTGGGTATGGGTCTTAGAATGTGGGTGTCATTCCCCAGGCAGAACTTGACTGGGTTTTTTAAAGAACCAAATAGCTTTGTGGAGAATGATATTCTACAGATGGGCCAGAGTTAGGGAGAATAATGAAGATAAAGAAAAGATGGAATGGAGTGCCCATCTGTAACCTCAGTTACTTGGGAATGTGAGCTCTAGAGGATTGTGGTGTGAAGCCAACCAGGGTTTAGAGGGGGAAAAAAGTACGTAAGGGCTGGGAAGGTGGCTCAGTGGTAGAGCGCTTGCCTTGCATGCATGAGGCCCTGGGTTCGATTCCTCAGCACCACATAAGCTAAAAGAAAAAAGCCAGAAGTGGCGCTGTGGCCCAAGTGGTAGAGCACTAGCCTTGAGCTGAAGAGCTGAGGGACAGCGCCCAGGCCCAGAGTTCAGGCCCCACGACTGGACCCAAAAAAAATTAAAAAAAAAAAAAAAAGTACGTAAGATCTCATTTCAACCAACAAGCCACCTAGAGTGCTTCATGGCTTGTGATCCCAACTCTGAAGAAGGCATAGGTAGAAGGATCTTGGTCCAAGGCCAGCCCAGGCAAAAAGGGAGTTTATCTGAAAAATAATTAAAGCAAAATAGAGAGAAAGGGAAGGAAAGGAAAGAGGAATAAGAATAATATAAGAGGCACAGGTGGCTCACACCTGTCATCCTAGCTGCTGAGGAAACTGGGATCTGAGGATCACAGTTCAAAGCCAGCCTTTGGGAAAGAAACTAGCAAAAGGCTGGCAGTGGAGGTAGGGCTCAAGTGGTAGAGTACCAGCCTTGAGCAAGAAACCTAAGCAAACAGCATGAGGCTCTGATTTCAAGCCCCAGTAGGTCAAAGACACCTTGGCGCCCTTCCCCGCTACCTCTGCCCAGCCTTGCTGCTTAGTGAGGAGGTAAGTGGTTAGTAGCGCAGTGAAAAAGTTGGAGTTCAAATCCCACCTAGCCACAGAGCCTCCATTTTCTGATCTATAAGACATACACTTCCCGTGGTCCCGTGGCTATCTTCTATAATGGGGTAATAGCTGTAATTATCAAAGGCCCAAAGGTTGGGGGCAGGTGAATTGTGGGGGACCGGCATAGTGGGTAACATCTGAGCTTCCCCCATCCAGGGTATGAGGATGTCGTCTGGATCCCCAAAGGGTCAGTCCACATTTTCCTCCTGGACCTGAACCTGTCCCTCAGTCACCTGGGTAAGCAATGGGGGTGAGTAAGGACTGCAGATCTGATGGGGTTGGAGGGTTCACTGTGACTTCATTCCTGACCCCTGTGCCATCCCCCCAGCTCTAAAGGGAGACCAGGAGTCCCTGTTGCTGGAGGGCCTGCCGGGGACCCCCCAGCCTCATCGCCTGCCCCTAGCCGGAACCACTTTTCACTTGCGTCAGGGACCAGACCAGGCCCAGAGCCTTGAAGCCCTGGGACCCATTAATGCGTCACTTGTTGTCATGGTAACAAGATGGTGGGCAAGAGACAGGAGGACCTGAGCATCTTTTTCTTTTTCTTTTTCTTTTTTTTTTTTGAGGGATGGAGACTCTGGGAGACATTTTTCATTGGCTGCTCCTCACCTTCCCCTCTCACCCATCTACCCACCCACCCCAGGTGCTGGCTCGGAAAGAGCTTCCTGCCCTTCGCTACCGCTTCAACGCGCCCATCGCCCGGGATACCCTGCCCCCCTACTCTTGGCACTACGCGCCCTGGACCAAGTGCTCAGCCCAGTGTGCAGGCGGTGAGGCCAGGGCAGGCTCAGGGGTGGGCAGTAGACACCTGCCTCTGGTGCTGTGGGCTGGCCCCGGGCTGAGCGAGCCCCTCCCCTCCCCCAGGCAGCCAGGTGCAGGTGGTGGAGTGCCGGAACCAGCTGGACCGCTCCACCGTGGCCCACCACTACTGCAGCGCCCACAGCAAACTGCCCAAGAGGCAGCGCGCTTGCAACACGGAGCCCTGCCCACCTGAGTGAGTGCCCAGGGTGGGGTGAGGATGTCCCCTAGGAAAGATGGGACACAGAACTAGGAGACGAGGCTGAGCACTGCAGTGAAGTGCTGTGGTCTGGGGAGTGACAAGGGGACTCTTAGCTGTCATCCCAGCTACACTGGAGGTAGGAGGCTCGCAGTCCAAGGCTGGCTGCAGACAAAAATGCTTTGTCTGGGGCTGGGAAGGTGGCTTAGTGGTAGAGTGCTTGCTGAGCATGCATGAAGCCCTGGGTTCCATTCCTCAGTACCACAGAAACAAAAAAGCTGGAAGTGATGCTATGGCTCAAGTGGTAGAGTGCAAAAGAAGCTCAGGGACAGTGCCCAGGCCCTGAGTTCAAGCCCCAGGACTGGCAAAAAAAAAAAAAAAAAAAAAAGTGCTTTGTCCATGGCTCATCCTTTGTTCTGTCATCCTAACTACTCAGGAGGCTGAGATCTGAGGATCATATTTTGAAACCAGCCCAGGCAGGAAAGGTCATGAGATTCTTCTTAACCCATTAACCACCAAAAAGCCACAAGTGGAGCTGTGGATCGAGTGGTAGACTGGCCATTCTTGAGCCAAAAAGCTTAAGGACAGTGCTCAGGCCCTGAGTTCAAGACTTAGGACCAGAAAACACACACACACACACACACACACACACACACACACACACACACACACACACACACACACACACACACACACACACACACACACACGGGCATGACTCCAGAGTTGGGGGTGTGGCTCAAGTGGTAGAGTACCTGCACAAGACACTGAGTTCAAACCTCAGTACAGACAATTTTTCTTTTTTCTTTTCTTTTTTTTTGGGGGGGGGGGGGGCAGGTCTGGTCGTGGAGCCTGAACTCTGGGCCTGAGCGCTGTCCAGCTCTTCAGCTCAAGGCAAGTGCTCTACCACTTGAGCCACAGTGCCACTTCCAGCTTTTCTTTTTTTTTTATGTGGTGCTGAGGAATCGAACCCAGGGCCTCATGCATGCAAGGCAAGCGCTCTACCACTGAGCCACCTTCCCAGCCCCCAAAATAATTTTTTTTTTGGTCGGTCGTGGGGCTTGAACTCTGGGCCTGGGCGCTGTCCCTCAGCTCTTCAGCTCAAGGCGAGTGCTCTACCACTTGAGCTACAGCGCCACTTCTGGTTTTCTGGTGGTTTATTGGAGATAGGAGTCTCATGGTCTCCCCTGCCCGGGCTGGCTTTGAACCGCAATCCTCAGATCTCAGCCTCCTGAGTAGCTAGGATTACAGGCGTGAGCCACCGGGCCCGGCTCAAAATAATTTTTAAGTTATAATGTTCACCAGGCACTGGTGGCTCACACCTGTAATTCTAGCTACTCTGGAGGCTGAGCTCTGAAGATGGAGGTTCAAAGGGAGTCGAAGTGGGAAAAAAAAGTCCATAAGACTCTTATGTCCAATTAAACAGCAAAAAAGCTGGAAGTAGAACTGTGGCTCAACCTTGAGCATTGAAAAGGCCAGGCCAGAACTTGAGGTTGAGTTCAACTCTCAGTGTGGGCTAAATAAACAACTCAATGTTACGGAGTTCATGGGGTCAAAGTCATAGTGTTTCCCAGGGTAAAGGCCAGGCTAGATGGTCCTGGAGCCAGAATTCATGCTAACAGTCAAGGAATAATCAAGCTAATAGTCCTAGGGATCAGCCCTCATTCTCCCCACCCCCCAATGACAGTACTGAGCCTGGTTGCTGTCCTTTAGACTTTCAGTTAAGGCTAGTGTTCTACCACTTGAGCTCTATTCCTGATTTTTTTTTTGCTGGTTAGTTGGAGAGAAGAATCTCACTGACCCAGCGGGCTTGGAACCAGGATCCTCAGATCTCAGCCTCCTGAGTAGCTGGGATTACAGGCGTGAGCCCCCACACCCAGCTGAACCTGCTCTTGGCTGGTTGGGTGCTCCTTACCCAGTACTGGTTCACCTGGGAAGAGTTAGGAGAAAGTAACACCCCTGACCCCTGACCCCTGCTGCGCCCCCACAGCTGGGTGGTGGGGAACTGGACGCGGTGCAGCCGCAGCTGCGATGCGGGCGTGCGCAGCCGCTCGGTGGTGTGTCAGCGCCGCGTGTCCGCCGTGGAGGAGAAGTCGCTGGATGACAGCGCGTGCCCGCAGCCGCGCCCCCCGGTGCTAGAGGCGTGCCAGGGCCCCACGTGCCCGCCCGAGTGGGCAGCCCTGGACTGGTCTGAGGTCAGCACACACTCAGCCCGCCCTCTTCGGGTGTTTGGTGGGTGAGGATGGGGAGGACGGTGACTGATGAACCCCTTGGAGGGGAGGCCGCCGTGGGGGGGGTCCCCTCTGCCATCTATGTGATCCCTGAGGGAGGGAAGAATGAAAATTGGGGAACCCTCTGGGGGGGATCCCCTCTGTCATCTGTGTGAGCCCTGAGGGAGGGAAGAATGAGAATTGGGGAACCCTCTGGGGGAGGACCACAGTGGGGGGTCCCCTCTGCCATCTGTGTGAGCCCTGAGGAAGGGCAGGATGAGAATTGGGGAATCCACGTGAGGCGTGAACATCATGGGGTCCCCCCTGCCATCATGCTCGCTTAAGGGATGGGGGCCCCCTTGTGTTTCCATTACCTTCCCACTCCACGAGGCCTGCGCCCCAGTCTGAGACGCCTCCCCCTCCTCCAACCACAGTGCACCCCGAGTTGTGGCCCGGGCCTCCGGCACCGCGTGGTTCTCTGCAAGAGCGCGGACCACCGCGCCACGCTGCCGCCCGCGCAGTGCCCACCCACGGCCAAGCCCCCCGCCACCATGCGCTGCAACCTCCGCCGCTGCCCCCCGGCCCGCTGGGTGGCCAGCGAGTGGGGCGAGGTAGGTGGGCGTCCCCCCCCCCCACACACACCAGGGAGGAGGGAGGGGGGAGTCCCGGGCTGGGGCGAGCTCAGGGACTCCTCCCCACAGTGCTCCGCGCAGTGCGGCCTGGGCCAGCAGCAGCGCGCCGTGCGCTGCACCGGCCACACCGGCCAGCCGTCCCGGGACTGCGCCGAGGCCCTGCGGCCGCCCACCACCCAGCAGTGCGAGGCCAAGTGCGACCCTGCGCCCCCCGGGGATGGCCCCGAAGGTATGTGGGTCACAAGCACCCCACGGAGTGGGGGGGGGGGAACACCAGGAGGGCTTCAGGTGGAGAGGACTTCTGGAAACATCTGGAAACACAAGCCAGGTCTCCCAGGTTGCCTGTCACTGTCCAAGGCGAGTGCTCTACCGCTTGAGCCACAGCACCACTTCCGGTTTTCTGGTGGTTTATTGGAGATAAGAGTCCCTGCCTGGGCTGGCTCTGAACCGAGATCCTCAGATCTCAGCCTCCTGAGTAGCTAGGATGACAGGCGTCAGCCACTGGCGCCCAGCTTATCCTTGAGCTGTTGTTTGTTTTTATTTTTTAACAACAAAGTTGTTTTATTTTAGCACACAACCAAACTTTTTTTCTTTCAAACAAAACTTTCCCCAGATTTATTACTGAATCAACCTTCTAGAGCATGGCACAGAAACAGAAAAATCATATTCCCAACAAAACACGTTTAACTATCAAGACAATGATGACATTTTTCTCTTGATATGGCAAGATGATGTGTGTGCCATCTCTCCTGCAATTCCTTACAGACCAATTAACTGGATATAAGAGTCTCATGGATTTCCCTGACCTCCACAGGCTTCAAATGGTGATTCTCAAATCTCAGCCTAAATAGAGTTACAGGCATTAGCCACCAGCACCTGGCACTTTGTACTTTAAATCAGTTTATCAGCCTCAAGCACTCTTGAGGTTATGTTCCATAAGATTCTGTCCTGTACAGAATCAGTGCCAATGACAACTTTACCCCAGTTAAGGCTAAAAATGCCTGCAGATGTCACCCCATGTTCCATGGCCCCTTGAAAACCACTGCCCATTTATTAATTTTTTTCTTTTTTTAAATTGATCTTGTTATGATAGCCAGGCTGGACCCAGACTTCTAGGCTCAAGCAATCATCCTGCTCAGACTCCCAAGTGCTGGGATTACAGGTGTATGCCATTATGCCCAGCTATAAATTTGTCTTTTCATATAGAGCAGTGGATGATGTGTTTGGGACTACCTTTCACTCTTGTGCCTCAGTTTCCTCATCTTGTCAAGGGGGGTAAGTAATAGACTCACTCAGAATGAGGTACCACTTTAGAGGTGGAATAAAAATGATCCACTGGATGACCAAGTGCTAGTGGCTCACGCCTGTAATTCTAGCTACTGAGGAGGCTGGATCTGAGAATCACAGTTCCAAGCCAGCCTGTGCAAAAAACTCTAGGAGACTTATCTCCAATTAATCACCAAAAAGCTACAAAGTGGAGCTGTGGCTCAAGTGGTAGAGTACTAGCCTTCAACAACAACAACAAGCTTAGGGACAGTGCCCAGGCTCTGAGTTCAAACCCTAGGATAGGCACACGCACGCGCACACACACGCACACACACACACACAAGATCTGTTGGAAACCACAGACATTACAAGCTGGTAAGCACTCTTTATTGTCATCATGAACATACACTGTTGAATATGTGAATACAAAATACACAGATTCTTCCAACCAGGGATCAAGATGTCAGTTATGACATGGGTGTGGTGGCTCACACTTGCAGTCCTAGCTATTCAGGAGGCTGAGTTCCAGAGGGTCAAAGTTCAAAGACACCCTAGGTAGAAAAGTCTTCAAGACTCCCATCTTCAAAATAACCAGCAAAAAGCTGGGCTGGAGGTGTGGCTCAAGTAATAGACCATCCGTGAAGCAAGCAAGCTCAGCAAATGTGTGAAGCCCTGAGTTTAACATCAGTTTTTTAAAAAGACAAGGCTATGATTCATACCTGTCATTCTAGCTACCCAGGAGACCCAGCAATGAAGGATTATGAGTGGAGGCCAGCCCCATTTCAACTGATTGAATAGGAAAGATTTTTTTTCATGGATAATCCTGAGCTCTCTCCATGCTGAAAATAGCCTAATGACAGGAGTTATAAGCCTCCCTTGACAGTTGAGGAAACCCAGCACAGAAAGGCAAAGTCACTGGTTAAGTAGAACGTGGCTGGGTGAGGCAGTGAAAACTGATGGCTCCTCTCCTGCAGAGTGCAAGGATGTGAACAAGGTCGCGTACTGCCCCCTGGTGCTCAAATTCCAGTTCTGCAGCCGAGCCTACTTCCGCCAGATGTGTTGTAAAACCTGCCAGGGCCGCTAGTGGGGCGCGCAGTACCTGGAGCCGTCGTGGAGCCGCAGGCTGAGGGGGAACCCCAACCAGAGAGGGTCCCAGAGGGCGGGAGCTGGGAGTGAAGGGTGACATGGAGCTGGAACTTATTTATTGGGAACCCCTACAGGGCCTCTGGTTAGGGGATGAAGAGGAGCTGGCTACCCCCTCCCCAGTCCCTCTAAAGTCCTTTGTCCAATTCATAACCAGATCCCCCCCCTCTTCAGGGATGGATTTAAGGAAGGGGGTACCTAGTTGTCCCAGCACCATTTGCACCCACCCTTAAGGAGTCCCCTCCCCTACCCTCTGATCGAAATATGTACTGTGAAGAGTGGGAGTGGGAGAGGGGGCTACCAGCACCCTCCCCCCAGCACTAACTCCCTCCCACTCTGAGCTGGTGGGGATCCAGGCTTGCTAAGGGGGACAGGACCTAGCACCACCTCCATGACACCCTCTCCCAAAACCGACCAGGGGGAAGATTCACCCCAACCTCTGCTCTCACTGATCCATGGGGGGACCCCAACATCCAAGCCACCCCCATCATGCCGGTTACAAGGCCTCACCCTGGGGCTAACGCTCCTCGCAGGAAACCCTACATCAATAAAGTTCTGTCTTAAATAGATTTCTGTGAGTGTGAGTGTGTGTGTGGCTGAGTCCCTTCCTGCGCCTGCCCTGGGGCCAGAAAAGACCACAGCTCCTCAAGGCATTAGTGGCTCACACCTGTAATCCCAGCTATTCAGGTGGCTGAGACCTGAAGGTCACGGTTCAAAGCCAGCTCAGACAGACAAATTCCAGAGACTGGTTTCCAATGAGCCAGCAGAAGGATAGAAGTGGAACTATGGCCCACAGAGAGTGCCAGCCTTGAGTGAAGAAGCTAAGGTTGAATGCAAGGGACCTGAGTTTAAGTCCCAGGACTAGCATCAAAAAACAAACCAAAAAAAAAAGTTATCCTAGCTGCCAGAGAGGACTTGGGCCAACAGAGACAAGAACACGGCCATGGGCTGGGAAGGTGGCTCAGTGGTAGAGTGCTTGCCTTGCATGCATGAGGCCCTGGGTTCAATTCCTCAGCACCACATAAGCAGGGGGAAAAAAGCTGGAAGTGGCGCTGTGGCTCAAGTGGTCGAGTGCTAGCCTTGAGCTGAACAGCTGAGGGACAGCACACAGGCCCAGAGTTCAGGCCCCACGACCGGACCAACAAAAAAAAAAAATTAACGGCCATTTTAAGACAAAAGTACAGCTTCTTGTGGAACGCAAAGCCAGCAAAGTGGGGTCCTGCCTGTAGTTTGATATCCCTACAGCAAACCTGCTCTGGATCCACAAGGAGACACAGGCTCTACCCTCACATGGCCACCAGAGGGCGCCCGCTGGAGCACCTGTTAGGATGTGCATAGGTCCAGCCGAAGATAACAAGAACATCTGGCCGAGTGGCTTGGAAAGGTGATAGCCTCTTGGCACTGCCATTTCCTCAAATGCCAATGGAAAAATCCTGTGTGGTCTGGTGTGATCTTAAGTCAGGTAGGGTGCTGCTGGGAGTCGCTGTTTTACACTGAGGAGATGGGGGAACCAAGCGGTCAGGTGATGAAATCTAGGCGTGGCACAGAACGTTTTGAGAACTTCTAGGTGCATTTGGCTTCTGGCCCCACCCCCCCCACCCCCACCCCCACTCCTGTCTGTCCCTTACCTTTCCCAGACACAAGAGGGTGTTCGTCCCAAGGTTGCCTTGAGCCGCTCAAAACAGCTCCCAGCAAAAGACTACAGCTGGTCCTGCAGCTGGCTGACCTAAGTGCACACATTGCTGTAGCCTATAGCCTTGAGGAGATGGAGAATGGGGCTCTGGGGCTCTGGCTGTGTCTGGCAACCATCTTTGACCTCTCCTGTGGCTCACAGCACAGTCTTCCATCACCCCCACCCCACCCCCAAAAAACAGCCAGCTTCCCCTAGCCCAGCCTGGGACTACTGAGCTTTCTCCCCGCCCTCGGGGCTCAGCTTCCCTCCCCAGTGGCCATGGCCCCTCCCGTCAAAGGAAGTGAGAGAGCCGAGGTGGCTGTAAGAGGAACTCAGGCCAGAGCAGGAGAAGGACCATGTCCCCAAGAGCCCCCTAGGTGAGCCTGGACCCCTGCCACAGCCCAGCCAGGTGCCCCGGGAGCTGGGGCACCAGCTGCCACCATGGTAAGTCCTCAGGGGTACGGTGGGGGGAGGGGGTAAGTGAGGGAGATATCAGGTAGATAGTGGTGCTCTAAGACCACCACCAGAAAGTGGGGAGGAGTGATCCTTTATGGGGGGGGGGTCCCTCAAGGCAGCTCAGGTACCCCACTTTGTGTCCCTTTCCTAGGACCAGGCTCCCACGTGAGTTGTAGATTGGCTATGGGACCGACAATGAAGCAGTAACTGGCAGATGGGGGGAGGGAGGGGAATCTCTGAGGGGGTTCACACAGCCCCTTCCCTGGGCCTTAAGAAACCCAGTGCCCTGCCAAGCTGGGGACTCCTCTTCTCCCCAGTGGCCTTGAGCCAAGTCACTCCCCTTCTTGGGGCCTCTGACCACACTTAGAAGTCAGAAGCTGTGGCTCCCAGACAGTAGGGTGAAGTGACAGTGTGGGTCTGCGGGTGACAGAGGCCGGGGGTATAGAGCTGGGGGTACAGCGGAGTGGTAGTGTGCTTGCTTAGCTGCTGAAAGCCAGGCTTCTAATCCAGGTAGGCAAAAGACAAAAGGGAAAGGGGAAGAGGACTTGGTTCATGCCACCACCCAAACATGGTGATGGAGACACTTAAAACAGCAATGTCACTTGCTGTAATATGGAGGCTGGGGGTCCACTGGCAATGGTGACAAGATGGAGGGACTGGCACAGGATGTCCCAACGACATCCTGAGACAACACAGTCATCCCACAGTGCTGAGAGTCCTCAGACCACTTCAGCTTTCATTCTTTGTCACTCAAGGATGAGGGTGTGTTCCTAGGACAGCGACAGAGGCAGGGAGATGGCACAGGAAGCAGATGCTGCAAAGATCGTGCAGAAAGCCAGTGAGGAATCGGGTGGCCCTGGCTAAAGATGCTCTGGGTGATTCGCAGCCCTACATGTGAACTTGCAGTGGTAATCACTAAGAGGCATCTAAGCCAAGAGACCAGATGACAGAGATCAGATGGACAGAATGAGACAAACGCACAGGACAAATTTGCTACCTGAAAGGAAACGAACCCCGCCCACTGAAACCCGGAAAAACCCTTAGTCAACAAGACGACTCAGCAGATGGGTGTCTGAGAGGGAAGAAAATGCATCAGACAATGTATAGGCAGTCGTGGTAGAGCAAGCTTGTAATCCCAGCACTGGGGAGGCTGAGGCAAGAAGATCATGCATTCCAGGCTGGTCTGGGCTACCTAGCAAGACCCAAAATCAAACTCCTCTCCCTCAGAATCAAAGCAGATGATGGAACAGAAATGAAGACACTGCAATTCATGCCTGTGATCTCAGCCATCAGGAAGCAAAAATTGGGAGGATCTCAGGCCAGACCAAGCAAAAAATTTGTAAAGATTTCCTTATCAGTCTATAAACCAGGCATGATAGCACTTGTCTGTGACCCTAGTTACACAGGAAGCTCTAGAGAGAAGGGTCATTGCCTGAGGCCTGCCTGGGGGCACACACACACACACACACACACACACACACACACACACACACACACAATCTATAGCCGGGGATTGGTGGCTGGCATCTATAATCTTAGCTACTCAAGAAACTGAGATCTGAAAATCAAGATTCAAAGCCAGCTCAAGCAGGAAAGTCCATAAGACTCTTATCTATAGGCACCAAAAGGCCAGACATGGAGCTGTGGCTCAAGCGGTAGAGTGCCACTTTGAGAGGCACTTTTTTACATTGAATGAAAAAGCTCAGGGACAGCACCCAGGCCCTGACAGACCCAGGACAGAGCAAAAAAAAAAAAAAAAAAAAAAGTTGGGGGGGCGGCTGGGAAGGTGGCTCCGTGGTACAGTGCTTGCCTTGCATGTATGAGGCCCTAGGTTCGATTCTTCAGCACCACATAAGCAGAAAAAGTCAGAAATGGCACTGTGACTCAAGTGGTAGAGCGCTAGTCTACAGCTGAATAGCTGAGAGACAGCACCCAGGCCCAGAGTTCAGGCCCCATGACAGACCAAAATAAAAGAAAGAAAGAAAGAAAAAGAAACCTATCTGAAAAAAATAAATAAAGTAAAAATAGATGGGGATGTGGCTCAAAAGGTAGAGTGCCTGCCTAGCATGCAGAGGCCTGAATTAAGAAAAAGAAAAAATTCCTTTCAAACAGTGATCTTAAAAGTCCTTTAGGGAAGCAAGGATGTGAGGTCAGTACCCATAGCTGACCTGGCTTGGGCTTTAAGATGGGCTGGGTGCTTGTTCTTGGTGAATGAATTGCTTCAGGTGCTTGCTGCTAGGTTGCTGTTGGGTTGTTGTTGGCTGTGGTGTTATTGCTGCTGTTTGTTTCAGGTTGCTGTTAACAGCAATTCTTGTGTGTAGTGATTGTGGGTATCTTTGATGAGCGCTGGTCTGGAAAGTTGGTCGTTGATGGCAGGTTGGTTTGGGTAGGAAATCTTCGGGATTTGATAAGAGTGGTGGATAGGTGGTTGTGTTCACTTTTGATTGGTTGTTCATCGCTGGCTGACAATTCATTGTTGGCTTTTGAATGGGACACAGGGTGTTGCTCATGGTAGTCATGTGTGGGTAGTCTTTGGATGGACTGGTGGTATTGCCCATGCTTGCTGTCAATGGTGGAGGTTTTCTTTTTTTTTTTCTTTTTTTTGGGGGGGAGAGAGGGCCCGGTCATGGGTCCTGAACTCTGGGCCTGGGCGCTGTCCCTCAGCTCTTCAGCTCAAGGCTAGCGCTCTACCACTTGAGCCACAGCACCACTTCCGGCTTTTTTCTTTTTGCTTATGTGGTGCTGAGGAATCGAACCCTGGGCCTCATGCATGCAAGGCAAGCACTCTACCACTGAGCCACCTTCCCAGCCCCAATGGTGGAGGTTTTCTTGTGGGCTTGCTTTGTTTGTTTTTGTTTTTGTTAGTCATGGGGCCTGAACTCTGGGTCTGGGCTCTGTCCCTGAACTCTTCAACTCAAGGCTAGCACTCTACCACTTGAGTCAAGCCCCACTTCTGGCTTTTTCTGCTTATGTGGTGCTGAGGAATCGAACCCAGGGCCTCATGCATGCAAGGCAAGCACTCTACCACGGAGCCACCTTTCCAGCCCCTGGTTTTTCTTTTAAGAAAGAGTCTCACTGTGTTACCCATTGTGTAGCTGGCCTCCAACTCTCCATCCTCCTCCTTCAGCCTTGTAAATGCTGGGATGATAGCCCGGCTGGTTGTCCTTGTTGATGGTAGGTAGCGATTTACGACTGGTTGATGACCACAGATGGTGGTGGGTGTTTGTAGACAAGGTTGATGATCTTGGTTGTTTCTTTTGATTTTCTGGAGGTGGAAAGGGGGCAGTCAACCAGTTGACAAAAATGGTTGTTTTTAAGGTTCAGACACAAAGCAAGGGAGGTCAGTGATATGGCTGCTTGGTCCAAGGCCCAGTGGCCAAGAAAGTGGACAGAAAAGGAAGGATTTCTGAGGGAGAGTCATTAAAACCAGCAACTGATTGGACAAGAAAGAGGAG